CGCAGCCGCCGCCGGGCCGAGGAGGAGCGGCCGAGGCCCCGCCTGCTCACCGCCCCCGGGTTCCGCCCCCCCAGGCACGGCCAGCCGAGCGCCGAGCGCGCCCCTTCTACCCTCAGGGTCGCCTCCTATACCTCGCCTGCTTCAGTATTTGAACCCCAGACTCGCCACTTCCCAATCCCACGACCTGGGGCAAGTTGCTTAATTCCAAATCTCGGTTTTCTGTAAAACAAAAACAATCGATGGCTGTTTATTGAAACAGACACTGTCCTGGGCTCTTTATGGGAACCTTGCACAAACGTCACAAAAATATTTTCAGATATTTCGGCACACAAATACACGCACGCACTCTCTTCTTAGTGAAGACGAGAGCTGAAGTTATCTGCCAAGATCATACAAGAAAGTGGTGATGGCTATCTAGTTTCAAGCTTAGGATCCAGACAAGACATTAAAAGCCAACCCTAATGTATATGCTATTCAAGTTTCGTTCTGCTCATTTTGTTTGCACTCAACTCGTTAATGTATCACCATAACTCAATGATGAATGTTTTAAAAGTTCTGCCCATTTTGCAAATGGAGAAACGGAAGTACCGAGCAGGTTAAAAACAAGTAGCCAGCAACAACAGGGACTGGAACCCTGGTTGCCAGCCAATGTTTCCTTACCTTCCGCATCATTTAGCATTGCTGCACACTTTCCAAGCATTCGGTCGTTTAATCTGTGCTTGATCTTGGAAATTAATTAAGCTCTTTATTGTAAAGAAAGTAAGGCCCAGAGGGTTTAAGTTAATTGCCCAGAGGATGTGGCATGACTAGGGTTCAAGTTCAGTTAAGTGTATTGCAGTGGCCGTTACCCCTGGAGCACTGGAAGGTGCTCTGAAATAACGTGTACACCGCATCTGACATCAAGTAAACAATAGGTATTGAGTTTTTCCGCTTACCGCCCTTTTTCTGAGCCTCAACCTCCTCATTTGTGAAATGGAGTTGCTGACATGTTTCCCGCTCAAGGAATCCGCTGTAATTAAGCCCACTTGCATCACACATTTGGAGAGCTTCATTCCCACCATGCATTTTGACCCTGGCTGTTTGCCGTACCTAGAATCACTGATTGGCTGCTCACGGTCATGTGACGCACCTCCCTACGGTGCTAACATGGCGGCCCCCAGGTTCTAGTCTAGGAAACGTGCACCCTTACAGATTTCGTTTTTGGTTTCCCAAGGAAAGGTAAGGAGGGCTTGGGTGGAATAGGGAGGTATCAGGACCACGGACAGGTCTGCTCCACGGGGGCTTTCAGCTGGTCCTTGGAAGAGGAGGGAGATGTTAGCGTTCCGAGGCCACAGGGTCTTCTCACCTTCCCCTTTCTAGGTGTGTAAGCCACCCCAGACTCAAACGTAACCCTCTCTGTCCCCCAGTCTTTTACCCTCCATTCAGGGTTGGAGAGCGGCGTCCTTGCATGTCCGGCGTGAGGATCCGTCTGTGGCTAAGCCTCACCCTTCGCTCCTCCCGCAGTTTCTGTAGAAGCCGGTTTGTGGAGGGGCAACCTCAAAAGCCGCCTAATCCGGCCGTGATGGAGAATGGCACCGAGACCTGCGGAGAAGAGCGTCCCTCTGAGGCCCAGGAGGCAATAGTTGCGGAAGGGGCTGCCAAGATTGCCTTCCCCAGTGCTAATGAAGTCTTCTACAATCCGGTGCAAGAGTTCAACCGAGACTTGACGTGAGCAGGGATCGGGGTGAGCCTGGCCGAGGGAAAGAGGCAGTGGGTCAGTGAAGTAGAAGGGGTGGGAACTGATTTTCCCTCTCCTATCAGATGTGCTGTGATCACAGAGTTTGCTCGCATTCAGCTTCAGACCAAAGGAATCCAGAGTGAGTGGAAGTCCAAGTTCTTGGTGGGCGGGGATCATAAAAGGCTCTTCCAGACTCACCACAGCATCGCCCCACCCCCGGCCCTGGGCTCTGCCCCTTTGACTTTCTCTAGGGAGTTTGGGAATGCACTCCCTCTTTGATTCTACCGTATTCTGAATAGTAAGGGGAGATGTTTCAGAGGAAACTTTGATACCATCTGAGTCATGCCTCTGTGTGGCTGCAGTTAAGGTGCCTGGTGAGAAGGACATGCAAAAGGTGGTTGTGGACTTGTCAGAGCAAGAGGAGGACAAAGATGAACTGAAAGAGGCGAAAAACCTGACCCCAAGAGACCAGCCTCGAATGGTTGCTGTGAGGGAAATCTGTCAGGTGAGGTCTGAGTATAGGGAGTAAGAACCATGGAGTCCCAGTGGATGACAGAAGAGATAGGTGGGAGAGATGAAGGCAATGGAGGGGGTGCCTCTTAAGACCTCATTAGAGGATAGAGGCATGGATGTGAGTGGGGTTCCCTGCTTACCCCAACAGGAGGGCTTGCGTGTGCTGGAAGGCCTGGCAGCCTCCGGGCTGCGTTCCATTCGGTTTGCTCAAGAGATACCTGGTCTGCGATCTGTGGTTGCCAACGATGCCTCCTCAAAGGCTGTGGACCTCATACGCCGCAACATCGAGCTCAACGATGTGGCCCACCTGGTACAGCCCAGCCAGGCAGATGCCCGGTAGGTATGAGACAGCAGATCCCTCAGTCTAGGAAGTGAAGTCTAGATCCAAGCTCTCTGGTCTCACTTCCTGGCCTTGTGATTTTCTTGCTGTGGGACCTTAGACAAGTGACTTAGCCTCTCTGAGCCTCAGTTTTTACTCTGTAAAATTAGGGAAATAATTTTACAGCGCTTTGGAAGGAAGACTCCGGATGAGATGGATTGATACAGTAACTGAGGCAATGGGGGTAGGTGTGTCAGAGTCAGTGAGACTGGCCCAGGACAGGGCAGGCTTCAGAGCTGTTGCACATAGGGTCTCTATGAGTCACAGGCGACTCAGCAGCACATAACAACATGATGACGACATGATAGAAGAGTCTCATATGGCTCTACCTTTCTACTAGAGACAAGTAACTATTATAATTTCTCTTTTGAGACTTGTAATTCTTTTACTACTCATGTGAAACTAGTGTTGCTAGCATGATCAGGGTATGTACCTGCCATTCTCAGTGCCAGAATGCATCGGCAAACACAACAAAATCTCTAACCTGATGCAGTTTGCATTATAAGGTAGGGATTGGCAAACTGCAGTCTGGGGGCCTGCTGCTGGGTTTTGTATGGCCTTCAATCTAAGATTGCTTAAGTCCTAAAAAAAAAGGAAAAGATGCACTAGAGAACATACGTGGCTACCAACCGTGAAGTATAACTGCCAGACCCTATGGAACAAGTATTCTGCTCCCAAAAGAATTCCACTTAGAAACGCAAAGGATAATTTAAAAAAGTGACAAATAGGGGAGCTTTGGTGACCTAGTGGCAAGAAGCTGCACTGCAATCCCAGAGGTGCGCAGTTCGAATCCACCAGATGTTCTGCTGGAGAAGGAGGGACAATTTCCTCCTTTACCAGTCAGATTTGATTTGATGGTAGATGCACAAAAAAAAAATTTTTTTTAAAAAGTGACAAATAAGTAAATGTTGTACAGTGGAATATATAAGCAGGAGTGGCATCCACTTCCTAAATAACATGCCTCCGGCAACTCTATGAACTTTGATAAATGTCAGTAGTTACAGAGGGGCGTCAAGCCTTTTGTTCATAAGGTCACTGTAAGTCGTACTTGACTGTAAGGCAGTCAACAACAACATATGGTGAAAAGGACAGTGGTAATTTTTAAATTATTTTATTATTTTGTGTGTGTGTACCATCAAATCGGATCTCATTGGTACAGGAGGACATTGCCCCTCCTCCAGCAGAACATCTGGTGGATTTGAACTGCGCACCTCTGGGATTGCAGTGCAGCTTCTTGCCACTAGGTCACCAGAGCTCTCCAAGACTTGTAATTTTAAGTGACACGATCATGGCTGGCTCCATTGAGAAGGTAGAAGAGGGAACCACAGTGGCCCCTAATTCATAGAGCTGCTTGAAAAATGGAATGGTTGCACCATTTCATACATTAATAAATAAATGTCTGACTCATCAATAACCTGCATTGTGCAGATAATACAACCTTGCTTGCTGAAAATGAGGAGGACTTGAGACACTTGTTGCAGAAGGTCAAGAACTACAGCCTTCAGTATGGATTACTTCTCAATATCAAGAAAACGAAGATCCTCATCATGGGGCCAACAGACAGTGTCATGATAGATGGAGAAAGGATTGAGCTTGCCAGTTACTTCATTTTGCTTGGATCAACAGTTAGCACTCTTGATCCTGGCAGTCAGAAAATTGGGAGACGTATTACACTGGGCAAGTCTGCCATAAAGGACCTCTTGAAACTCACTGAGGAGCAGTGTTGTCAGTTTGAACACTAAGATGTATCTGATTTCGACCCTGATCTTTTCATTCACTTGCTACGCATCTGAAAGCTGGACAATGAATAAGGATGACAGAAGAATTTATGCCTTGGAATTGTGCTGGAGAAGAGGACTGAAAATCCCATGGACTGTCAGAAGAAGAGATGAGGTCTTGGGTAAAGTACAAGCAGAAGGCAAGCATGGTGAAGCTTCATCTCATACTTGGAACATGTTGCTAGTAGAGGCTATTCCTTGGGAAGAGACAACCCTCACCAAGATGAATTGACAGACACAGTGACTGTAGCAATGGGCTCAAGTGTGTCAGAAATGATGAGAATGGCACATATAGGACAGGGTTCAGATCTGTTATTCATAGGGTCACTATGAGTTATACTCAGCTAGAGGACACCTAACAACAAAACATAAGTGATTAGAAATACTGGAGAGGTGTCTGCCCTAATCAATGTTGTTGTTGTTATGTGCCATCAAGTCACTTGTGACTCATAGTGACCCTATGTACAGCAGCTCTGAGCCCTGCTCAATCCTGAGCCAACCCCATTGTTGCTGACACTCCTGCCCCCATTAACCCAGTCACTGAGTCAACCCATCTCATCCAGGGTTTTCCTCCCCTCTGCTGTCCCTCCACCCTTCCAAGCATGATGTCCCTGTCCAAGGACTAGTTTCTCCTTGCAACATGCCCAAAGTATGTCAGATGAAACCTCAGAATCCTTGCCTCCAAGGAGCAGCCTGGTTTCACTCTCCCCAGGACAGACCTGTTCTCCTGGCAGTCCATGGTATATTTAATACTCTTCTCCAGCACCACAACACAAAGGCAGTCATTAGCTGCTGTTATTATAGTGTCGAGGGATTCCAAGTGGTTCAGCAGAGGCTAGAGATATGGCTATGAGTGCGGTTGGGTCCCCTGCTTACCCCAATAGGAGAGTCTGTGGGTGCTAGAAGGCCTGGCAGCCTTGGGCCTGCATTCTGTCCACTTTGCTTAAGACAGAGGCTGGAGAAGGGAAGACCTGTAGTTAGTAAAATACCAAGCCTGGACTTGAGTCTCGGCTCAAATCATCACACCATCTGAGTTGATCAAGGAAGAGGGAGCTGGGGCCCTGCATTGAAGGCCTGGCCCCTCTCACACCCAGGATACTGATGTACCAGCACCAGAAGGTGTCAGAACGCTTCGATGTCATCGACTTGGACCCGTATGGCAGCCCCTCCACCTTCCTGGACGCTGCAGTGCAGGCTGTGAGTGAAGGAGGTGAGGCCGGGGCTGTGACCACGTGGAGCAGGGCTTGGGATGTCTGGAGGGGCCTCACCAGCCCACCCTCCTTTCAGGGCTGCTGTGTGTGACCTGCACAGACATGGCAGTGCTGGCGGGAAACAGCGGGGAGACATGCTACAGCAAGTACGGGGCCATGGCCCTCAAGAGTCGGGCCTGCCACGAGATGGTGAGCCCGCCCACAGCCTGGAGCCACCGCCCCCTCCAGGCCGCCAGGGCCTGGACGTGAATGACAAGCCCCTCTTTAAGTAGCAGAGTTGCTCAGGGAGATAGACCACCGTCTCGGGCACTGTGGGGCACTCGCTTCACTCAGGGTCGGGTGGGTGGTTGAATTCTTCCTAGTGAGGGACGTGAAAGCTTCTCAGGACTCATTTGTTTGGAAGGAAGCTTTTCTCTTATCTCAGTTCTCATCTGAGTTTAAAGTTCGGTTTTACTGAACTTGTCATTAAGCAAATAACTTCTGTCTGGGTCTCAGTTGTGATAGCTGTAGAATGGGTATGATGATGGCATCAGTTATTGGGGTTGCTGTGAGGATGTAAGAGGCTGTGTACAGACCTGCCCGGAAGGGGGCGCTCTTTCCCTTGTTGGAGTCTCAGCAGCTCCTGGTGGGAAGGCCCTGGCGGGTCCTTGCCCGCGGCCCACTCCACCGTCCAGGAAGCTGACACCCACAGAATCTCAGCTCAGGGCCTGTGTGTTCTTTGCTCACTTGAAGTCCAGCAGGGCTCTGAGACGGGCAGCTGGGGTCTAGCCAATGAGCTCCCTAAAGCAGAGAGGGGCGCAGCACACAGGCTGGGGGATGTGACAGGCTGGGACCAGCCTGCACTATGTGCCGTCCCGGTGCCCATGCTCACGCCTCCAGGCTCTGAGGATCGTTCTGCACAGCCTCGACCTCCGGGCCAACTGCTACCAGCGCTTCGTGGTGCCCTTGCTGAGCATCAGTGCCGACTTCTACGTGCGGGTGTTCGTCCGCGTCTTCACTGGCCAGGCCAAGGTTAAGGCCTCAGCCAGGTTGGCCTGGGGTGAGGGATGGGGGGTAGGGCAGGCAGGAGAGATTGAGGAATAAAACAAGATCCTTGTCTGGGGAAAAGGATGGACATCGTCCTGCCCTGGGGCACTGGGAAGAGACACAGTCCCGCCCAGGGTAGATGAAGCGATGTCATCCTACCCTAGGGACATGGTCCAGCCTTGGGAGGATAAGAAGGGACATGATACTACCCTGGGGGCAGCGAGGGGACTGTCCTGCCTAGGGAGAATGAGAAGACTGGTTCTTCTCTAGGGCTTGGGGGGACTAACTGAGCCCCAGGGGAGTCAGGCTGCCTTGAGGCGCTCAGCCTGAAACTCAACATCTCCCCTCTGCCCATAGCAAGCAGGCCCTGGTCTTCCAGTGTGTGGGCTGCGGGGCCTTCCACCTTCAGCGCCTCGGCCGAGCATCAGGAACCTCCGGGAACCAGTGAGCGAGGTTGACCAGGAAGGCAGGCAGAGGGGTCCTTCGGGGTTAACATCCTCTTAACTGTCCCTCTCCCTGCAGGGTCAAGTTCTCTGCGGCCTGTGGCCCCCCCGTGGCCCCTGAGTGTCGACACTGTGGGCAGAGGCACCAGGTGAGGCCAGGCAGGGGAAGACGGACATGGGCATGGGGACTCCCAGGCATAGATAGCTCCGTCCATCTGACCCTGTGTCCACAGCTCGGCGGCCCCATGTGGGCAGATCCCATCCACGATCTGGACTTCGTGGGTCGAGTCCTGGATGCTGTGAGCGCCAACCCCAGCCGCTTCCACACCTCCGAGCGGATCCGTGGGGTTCTGAGTGTCATCACCGAGGTGGGCCGCGGGGCTGTCAGGGGCTCCGTCCAAGCCCAGCCCCTGCCTGGCCAGCCCACACCCACCTGTCCCCTGCAGGAGCTCCCTGACGCGCCCCTGTACTACACCCTGGACCAGCTGAGCAGCACCATCCGCTGCAGTACGCCCAGCCTGCTGCAGCTGCGGTGAGGCCCAGCCTGTGCCACATGGAGAGGAAACACAGTCATGCCAAGGATGCCAAGGCGTCCCCTGGGACGTGCTTAGCACGGGCAGGGGTCCTATGGGCACGGGGAGCCCCGCGGCCTCACCATCCCCACAGGCTAGCCGGGCCCTGGCCCCAGCCCCACTGCAGCTCTTCCCTCTCCAGGTCAGCCCTTCTCCATGCCGGCTTCAGGGTCTCCCTCTCCCATGCCTGTAAGAACGCCGTGAAGACTGACGCCCCCACCTCTGCTCTCTGGGACATCATGCGCTGCTGGGTGAGGCCCGCCTGAGTGGAGGGAAGAGGGTCCAAGAATGGGTCCCCAAAAACCTTCCTGGCTCAGTGTTGCCTGACCCCCCCCAACCTCTGCTGCCCAGGAGAAGGAGTGCCCAGTAAAGCGGGAGCGGCTGTCAGAGACCAGCCCAGCATTCCGCATCCTCAGCGTGGAGCCCAGGTACGGGTGTGGGGGTGTGTGTGTGTGTGTGTGGGTGTGTGTGTGTCCCCTATGTTAGCAAACACACGGATGTGCGGTCATTGACTCTTCCCTATACTGAATTGGCTGGGTCTTCAAATGAGATCAGAGCTGGCCCTCCTTTTCCCCCACCTCCTCTTCCTCCTCCTTTTCCTTCTCCTCCTCCTCCTCCTCCCCCCCTCCAGGACGCCTCCTCCCTGGCTCCTGCCCTTGCCCCTCACTGCAGCCAGAGGGCGCCCGTGAACATCTAAGTCAGGACACACACCTGCTGGGCTCAGAACCTTCCCTGGCTCTCACAGCAAACCCCCCAAATCCAAACTTGTTGCTGTTGAGTCAGTTCTGACTCCTAGCAACCCTTCAGGACGAAGAAGACCTTCTCTAGGGGGCTTCCAAAGCTGGAATCCTCGCGGACGCAGACTCCCACAGCTTGGCCGTGTGGAGCAGCTGCCGGGTTCTACCCATTCACCTTTTGGTTAGAGCCGCCGAGCACTTAACAGCTGCACCACCAGGATCCCTTGGCTCCCACCTCACTTAGATACAAGCCCACAGGTCCAGCCACCTCTGTCTGGAACCTTCTCTCCCCCCCTCTGCGCCTCCCTCCCTCACCTCCTCTGGTCACTGCCCAGGTGAGGCCCTCTCTGCCTGCCCCCCACCCCATCTCTTACTGTTCCCCTTCCAGTCTCCCCTTTTACCCTGCATCACTTCCCTAAACCTGCTCACTCCGTAACAGTGTCATTCGCTCATTCATTTCTGATTTCCCCTTTGTATTAAGATGTCAACTTCCCCAGGCGTAAGCATTTTATCCCCTTGTTCGCGTTCCCAGCACCAGGAGCAATACAGCCGTGCAGTAGGCACGCTCCAGGTGTTTATTAGGTGACAAAAGAAGGCAGATGCGGGATGACACAGTCTCCAGAAGGTGCATGCAACCTGCACCGATGCGGGTGGGCTCCGTGGCCCCTGGCCTTTGCACAGCCGCCTCCTCCCCACCAGTCTGCAGGCCAACTTCACCATCCGGGAAGATGCCAACCCCAGTTCCCGCCAGCGAGGACTCAAGCGCTTCCAGGTCAACCCTGAGGCCAACTGGGGCCCCCGGCCTCGTGCCCGGCCAGGGTGAGTGTGGTGTTGGTGGGGGCTTAGCTGGAGTGGGTGAGCAGATTCTAACTGGCTTGGTCTCCCTGTGTAGGGGCAAAGCCGCAGGCGTGGCCATGGGGGAGAAGTGTAAACTGTTGCAGAATAAGCGCAAGGAGCTGGCCGAGGACCCGGCCCAGCGTGCTGCCCGGCTCAAGACATTTCCCTGCAAGAGGTTTAAGGAGGTGAGGCTCTGCTCTTCTTAACCAGTGCGGGACACCTGGGTTCCCCAGCCTCCTGCAGGCCCTGGGGGACAGAGTGGGGCCAAAAAGCAGACTAGAAATGGGACCTAGTGTAGCCTGCTCACCCCTGTACCAGAGTTCACACCCCCCATACTCCCTCCCACCAGGGCACCTGTCAACATGGGGAACAGTGCTGCTATTCTCACAGCTCCCCGACCCCCAGTCCTGCCACCGATGCTGCCCCCATGGACTGCCTGGAGACCTCAGGCCTGGGGCCACCGCTGGACCAGGCATAGACTGAACCAATAAAGATATGCCACCTTCCTCAGAGTGTCGTTCATTTGAGTGGAGAGGTCGCTTACTCGTCTGTCTCTCTACCTGAGAGACTCTGCTCAGCCATCCAGCCGCCTATCTGGGGATCCGACCTTAACTTTTTAATTCCTTGGGGGAGATCTGTAGTCGGCCTGTTCAGGAGGGTGTTTGATCTTGCCTAGCTGCAGAGTTGGCGGTTTTTCTGTGAGTACTGCGTTGGCTGGGCCAAGTGTCTGCAGTAGTAGGCAGGATTGTCGCCTCCAGAGCGGGCACCTGCGTTTCCCGACGTGGCCACGAGGCGGCAGGCGTGCGCAGGTGCCCCTGAGGCTTTCGGCCCCACCGTCCTGTGCTCCCCACCTTCGTGGCAGGCAGGTGGGCGATCTCGAGGTGGGACACCACACGGACAGACACGCGGTCTGCAGCCGCCGCCTGCGCCGCCACGGCCTCGCCGCCTGGGTTCTTTGGCCCGATTCCCCAGGGGCCGCCCTGGCGGAAGCCGGACCGGAACCAGGCGCCCAGTGCATCCGTTCCAGACCAGGTGCTTCCTGCCCGACCGCCCGAGGAGACAAGCGCTGAGGCCCAGGCCGGGCTGCTGCCCATTGGAGCAGAGGGTCTAACGATCGCGGAGAGCCCCGGGCCAGATCCCTGCGCGCCACGGGCTAATTTTGGAAGCAGGCACTCATGACTTCACTACGGGTCCCCATGCATTTTTCTGATGCATGTAGAATCCCCCCAACAACCCATGTGCTTAGAACATAAGTTGTTGTTTCCTCGAGAACTGGAATGACTGATCGCATGGGGTGCTGCTGGCTTCTCATTGTGTGGGAGGGGGTGGTCCTGTTGTTGCTGGGTGGTCTCCAAGGTTCTATCTGCCCCCCACCCCCCTTTAGATGTTCAGGGAAAGATGGACAACCACGTGGGCGAAGTCGGGACAAGGGAGTTCTGTGGCTGCCTCCTGTTGGTACCTGGGCCCCTACCTTTGCAAGGCTCCAGGACATGTGCAGCCCCATCGCCCCTGCCCCAATACCTCCTTTCCACATGTGATCTTGAGCCCCATATTAGAAGTAACTAGTGTGGGGTTACCAAAAGGCCCAGAATTGGAGTGTCCAGAGCAAGGTTTCACCAGAACTAAAATCCAGTTGTGTCACTTTCTCTCACCCTCATGGGTCTAGAAAAGAGGCCTGGACAGACTAGTGTGCTGGGCTTGGGACACCTGACTTGGCCATGCACCTTGGGCCAGATTGACAGAGCTGGCGCCCTTTGGGGCCCTACTCCGGGGTGGAGTGGCAAAAAGTCTGGGAGGGACTCTGTAAAAAGAGGAACCAGGGGGAGGGGGCTGATCACGCGGCCCTTAGACCGGAAAAGGCCTTCTCCCCAACCCCCATGAACACAAACACTTGAGTAGGGGGCTTTAAAAAGAGCAGCTTAGACCCAGGTCACACAACCTTGCCTGAGTTTCCCCTCTGCTTGGCCCTGGGAACCTCCACTCCCACCTCGCTTGCTGGGTGTGCTTCTGCCTGGGGAGTCCCTGGGGTGCCCATCCTGTCTGTACAGGCCAGGGGCGGGGCCCTGAGGCCCGGCTCTGAGATCCCCGCCCCGCTCGTTTCCTCCGGGGTCAGCTCGACTCCTTATCAGGCGCAGCCAGGCGGCCAGGCCCTTATCTGCGCTGGCCCAGCATCCTCTGGCCTCTGCTTGGGGCAGGGAAGGAAGCCGTCGGTCCGGACAGGGTGGGCCAGCCGAAGTGCTCACTTTCTCTGGGGGGCCTACACTGCCGCCTTCACGGTGCCTGGCCCTCGGGACCCTAGAGGAGGCTGGGCCCAACAGCATGGTCTGGTTGAGGCGGCCGACTGTTGGCCGTTAGCACAGTGGCCACGCCTGAAGCCGGAACCACATCCTGGCCCCAAGGGGACCAAGCCCCAGGACCAAACACTCACCAGACGGTGGGACCAGCACTGGGGTAAGAGGGAACCAGCCTGAAGGATCTGGGACCTCCCTGAATTCATTCCTTCATTCATTCTTCGGGTGGGCTCATAAAGTGAGGGGTTGGGCCAAATTCCTGGAGGAGGGACCAGACCTACTGGGGACACTCCAATTTATGAGGCGAAAAATGAGCAGACATTGAAGTAGTATGCAGAATTGGATGCTGTTCTAGAGAATGTCTGGAGGAAAGTTTGGGGGGCAACAGGTCTGCACTTTTAGGTCAGTGTTGGAGATCCCAGAGACGGCATTTGGGGTCCTGGTGTCAACAGGGGCATCATAGGATTAGTAAGGGGAAGATTTTCAGGGGGTAAGGGGTGACTAGACTGGTCATAGAGGGCTGAGGCTTGGAGCCAGGGTCAAAAGGAGGAGCCTCAGAGATATCAGAGGGCCACGAGGCCAGCCTGGGCATCAAGGGAGGGTCAGAGGTGAATGGAGAGGTTTCATGGTCCAGTGGCATCAATGAGTATCAGCCCGAGGGTTTCATATCTGAAGGTTATAGTTAGTCCAGGAAGGGTCATAGGGTCAATGGAAGGTCAGAGGATCAGTTTGGGATTTCAGGGATCCCAGTATCAGCCAGGGGAACTTCACATGGTCCCTTCAGGCTACAGGTTAGGGGGATCATGGGAGAAAGGAAAGTAGCTCAGTGGCTGGGTGACAGAGGCCCTCAGATAGCTCTGAGCTGGCCATTGGGGAGCCAGTATCTCCTGGATGCCTTCTGCCCTTGTACTGGGCAGTTTGGGGCCCAATCCCAACCAGCTTGGCCTTTACCTGCCAAGCCCCGTCCCCAGATCTTCCAAGAGGTGTGGTGGGTGGTGGCTGGGTCCTCCCTCGCCACTGGTCTCCTTCTCTTCTACAGGTGAGCACCCTCCTTGGGGTCCATGTGCCCGCCCCAGGCCCAGGCAGAGGTGGGCCCCACCATGACTGAGAAGGTGGAGACGGTGTGTGCCCCGAGCCCAGCACCCACTCCGCCCCCCGAGCCAGCCTCGCCGGGACCCCCAAAGGTGGAGGAGGTGGGCCACACCGGGTCCTCACCACCTAGGCTGCCGCCTGGGGTGCCAGTGATCAGCCTAGGCCACACGAGGCCACCAGGGGCAGGCATGCCCACCACGGAGCTCAATGTCCTGCGGCCCCCTCTGTTACAACTCTCAGCCCTGGGAACTACCCCACCACCCTTGGCCCTGCATTACCACCCTCACCCCTTCCTCAACAGGTCAGTGTGGGGCTTAGGGCCTGGGGGCTATGGGACCTTGCCCACAAAATGACAGTGACCCACAATCCTTTACAGTCTCTACATTGGGCCGGCAGGACCTTTCAGCATCTTTCCCAACAGCCGGCTGAAACGGAGACCAAGTCATCACTGTGAGCTGGACGTGGCTGAGGGTGAGTGTGTGTTTGTGTGTGTGTGCACGTATACATGTGTAGGCGTGTACACATGTGGGTGTGCCATGGTTGAGAGTGTGTGCGGGGGGTTATGCATATGTGTGGGTGTGCAGAAGGAGCACCTCATCACTGTATGAGTGTCCTATACCCTTCAACAAGGAGAGATGTTTCTCTCTTACACCCCCCTAATTCCATGTGGGCTTTATATTCAAACGAGGCCTCTGTAAAACCACAGGGCATAACCCACCAAGCTCAGAAGGGACAGATCTCCATTTGATGTACATCCACAGGAGACAGCCACAGACCACAGGCACAAGGGGCAGCCACAGAACCAGAACCACATAAGGGTAGCCACAGAGGAGCGGCCACCCTCAAGGCCGGGATGGTCACGGTCACACAGGATCACTGCTCCATGGTAGCGCCCACACACATTCACACCATTCAGTTAGTCCAAGCAGGACATGGCCACAGTGCGATCACCTCTCAGACTCACGGGGTACACCCAGCCACACCACGGTGTGGGATCAACTCTGGATGAAAGATACAGGGAAGCCCCCGAGACTGGTTCTCACTTCTCCAGGGACTCTGGGCTAAAGGCATTCAGGTCTGAGAGTCACAAGCGTAGAAGGCAGGAAGCCATCTGCTGCTGGAACAGGCCTGAGGTGGTCACAGCTCTTCAAGTGCATGGTGGGGAGGTTAACTGGCGGAGGAACTGCTTGGGTTAAGCCCCCATGAGGGTTATGAGAGCAGGACGGGGCGCCCTCCAGGCTTCAGTGCCAGCCCTTCCCACCTGTCCCGCAGGTCACCAACCCCAAAAGGTGGCTCGGCGCGTGTTCACCAACAGCCGAGAGCGCTGGCGGCAGCAGAACGTGAACGGGGCCTTCGCTGAACTCAGGAAACTGCTGCCAACGCACCCGCCCGACCGGAAGCTGAGCAAGAACGAGGTGCTCCGCCTGGCCATGAAGTACATCGGCTTCC